CACTTCCATTCTTTTACGAAATTTCGGAAGAAAATCGGTAAAGAAATTAAAATAATGCTGCTATGTGAAGAATTTCTTGCAGACTTTTTTCAGAATTTTCTTTATTTTTCGTACAGAAATTTCTTTACGAGTTCGTGTCAACCACTTCATATAGTTTTCTTTGAAGATTCGGAAAAAAATCGTTACAGAAATCAGATACTCCTAAAGATTTCGTTAAGATTTCGGGAACTTTGGTTTGCAGGGTAGATACATACTGATGTATGTATTTATATTAGGGTGCCTCATTAAATAAAGTTGCGGGGTTTCCACCTAAAATATACAATAAATATTTTAAATATTAAGATTTCCGACAGCTACATATACCAATTTTGAAATACCTCCAAAAATCTCATTATTTTGATTCTGTTGATGAAATGTTTGCCGAAACAAATTTTATTTATAAATAAATCGATTTTAAAATTGGTCAAGCTCAAGTACATAAATCTTAATATTTTTTTGAAAGTTTTTTTTGACGGAAAAAAGTAAAGTCTAAGATATAAATTAAGATTAGGATAATTGTTCATTATTATACAGAAAAATATTCATATGAGGTTTTTCACGCGCCAGTGCTTTTTTCATAATATTTGTTTTATTTCCAAACCACTAAAGCTCATTCACTAAGTACAGTTGAGCACACTTTATAAGCGGGAAGAGTATTGAACATAATTTTCTTTGTTTTCTGTTTTACAAGCAGATTACAACAGTATTAACAAAGTACTTGAGAAATATTTTATAAAGATTTGATATAACATATAATGTAAATAAAGCTATGTTCATATTACAGTATAAATTATACGACGTTTCCACGATTCGTAAGTCGCTCTCTCATTCGTAATTCACTCTCCCATTCGTCATTCGCCTTGCCAATTACCTTCCGAATTACATAATTTGCCATACAAAATGTTGAGAGCGAATTACCTCATTTGTGGGTAATTCCTTCTCTAATATCAAAGTTTTCACTGGTCCGGTCCATTTTGCTGGCACTTTTTCTTGTTACAGAATAATATTAATGAAATGTTTTCTATATAAATTAAAATTGTTGATAACTTAAATTTTAGCTCCTTCTTCGATATTTGCAGTAACTTCCCGGGAGTTTTCTCTCTTTTGCCTTTCCTCTTATCATGAATAAAAATTCCCAGAGGATTTTTTATATTAAATGGCGGAGTTGAGCTGTCAAAAAAAAGTCAAACCGCTTTTTGAAGTTCGAATTTCCTCCTCCCAAATGTTCAGGGAAAATGCTACTCCGTGGGAGTTAATTATTGAAGGATTTCTTTCTCGGGAGAAACGAATTCCCGGAGAACAAACTCCCCGTGAATATTAAGAATTGGGCTGAATAATAAATAGCGAAGAGCAAGAACAAGACCTAGAGCTGCCAAACGAATTGCAAATGTGTGTCATGGAAACAGGGTAATTCACGAATTACTTAGAGAGCGAATTACGAATCGTGGAAACATCGTATTACTTTGTTTCGATCAAATTACCTCACATAAATCAAGTGCGTTCAGACTTGCTTTCATAATTTCTATACATTATTTGATTAGTATGTGTCTGCTTTGTATTTGATAAAAAATGGTTGCATATCTTTAGGCGCTTTTTTTAATTTCTTCAACAGACATAAATGACAAGTCTTTTATTTCTTCATTTGGTTCTTGATTAATGATAAATTACCTATCTTTTGCAATTTATTGACAGATTTCACATGGCAAAATCACTTGATTTTAGCATGGTTTGCATATAAATTACGAATGAGCCGTAAATTACGATAACGTGAACATGCTTTAAAACTAGACATTAGATATGGAACAGAACCTCTCAAAGCCAAAGAATTGAGCAGTCTTTCAAAGCAAATTTTGATGATTGACAATAAACATCTTTAGGTTTAAAATCATTAGCTTAATCTTTTATATCACATTAACACCGTCTTGTTTTAAAATTGTCAATGCATTTGTCAAAAATTTCACTAGCCTCATAAGCTACTGAAATTTTATTCACCTCAAAGTTGTCAAAAATTTACTTGCCGCGAACTTTGTTACCGATTCACACACGCTCTAAAAAGCGAAGAGAATACATTTTTTATTTATTTTTTATTAATTTTTTTTGTTAAAATAGGGCTGTTAATTTCGCCAAAATTTGGATGGAAATTAGGAAAAAATTATGTGTCATTTTACTTAGACGCCACTGTTGAGGAAGTTTACTCATACTGCCTTCGTATGCAAAGTTTGAAGTAGCTAAAAATTTCCGTTGATTTTTGAGAATTTTTGTTTACCGAGGGTGTTGCTGATTTTCTTCCATACGTTTGACGCATGAACAAAATTTATATGTACATACATATATGGAAAAAAAGTTTCGATTCGATTTCTCTTTTCATTCTGAGTTTTTTCGATCGAGTTAACGATCGTTGGGTATAAACGAAAATGAATTACCACCCACTGTATACCGAGGAGTAGTGACACCATTTTCCTATACATATCAGCTGACACGGCGCTGACACGGATAAATGGTCACCGCACACTGGGGCCGCCCCATATAAGTGGGTGCTCAAAATTCTGGAATCATTTTCTTTCTATTAGACTCACTTGAACTACTTTTTAAGAGTAAATTTTTAACGTCTTAACCCATTATTGATCATGCTCCCAGCCAAAAAACGACAGAAAGTTGAAAACTTATCCCCAAATGTAGAATTTAATGGGGAATAAACCTGCATTTTTATTTTTCCAAAAAAGCATTTTTTAAATTGAATTTTGAGCACGCTTGGCCCCAGTGTGCACCGTTTTCCTGCAACGTAGTTTTCCATTTTATCACATGTTCCCAATCGAACTCATATGTATGTATGTACATATATACTATGTTTATGCGTTTGTCATTTCACGCAATCATTACATGGAACGTAGTTAAAAATGGCTGCATAAACACCATTTCATGAATTCAATTCATGTATTTGAACTACCAGTGTGTTCATTCGTGCCCATAGATATGTATGTATGTATGTTTGAATACTTTCTGAAACGACTATGGCGCCAAATTGACCCGGCAACATTTTAACTTTCACTTTCACCTCGTACAAAAGGAGTGCATGTCACTGCAAGTGCGCCACATGCGAAACTTGACCATTAAGTGTAACTTAGTATGTACAATGTACATATGTACATATCTTTGTGGGGGGGCAGCCATTTGCGTACGTGCGCAAGTGGTGTAAGTGAAGGCGACTAGGCGTTGTTGATGGGCTGCATACTAGGGAGCGTCAACGGTTGGATGAGCACTTTCGTTAGACGTGTTACAACTGGGTGTATATTTATGCATGCAAAGTCGTGCGACGCTGTGTAGTCGTAGCAATTTCAATGCACTTTGTTACAAACTCTTTGGGTGTTGGCGAGGAGCTACATATGTTGTATATGTATATACATATATTTTTGTACAAAACTGGCATTTACTGCTTGTAACAATGTTAAGAAATGTGTTAGAATAAAATCAAATATAATTTGAACGGTTGCCAAGTAACTATAGTTACTATAGTATTAAAGGACAGCTCTTATCGTCAGCTTGGCGCCGCTTTAGCCCTTGGAAAAAAATTGAGGACTATTTTTTGGTAGACAAAGGACACATACATATACATACATACATATGTGAGTGTGCAAAATGATAAAGTGAACCTTTTTATACAAGGGCTTATCAAAGAATGTATGTATTGTACATAGTTAGACATTATTTATTATGTCTAAAGTGACATGTGCTTTCCCAGGAGCGGGTGTGTCCTTATGCTGAAAACGTAAATACACACATACATATGTACATATGTTCATAGGCACATAAGATTAAATAAATGAAAAATATAGCCCAGACACGATTTAATTTGTGTTTTTTTGCGTATTTTTATACAGTCTCCTTTTGGCGCTCTTTCTTGTTCATACGCGAAAGGAATGGCGTCACCGCTCAGTATACTCAGCCATATGTTTCCGAATGAAAAGGCAACATGCAAAGCCATGGCGTATGCGTGACACATTAAAGGCCAATTGTGATACGTATGTATATGCACGTGTATCAGCATACACAAGCCATGTTAAGAGCTTTTGGGCATCAACTGATTTACACTTTTTATTAAAAAGACAATTTAATTACAAAATACAATTACTTATGTATGTATTTGACGCTTGTACATACATATGTATATATTATTATGCTGGGAATTATGATCTGAAGGTTCTTTAGGCCTCTTTAGTTCAGCTTTTTTGGCGATGATGAATTGTTTACTGTTTTATTGTTTTTGATTTTAAATGATAAATGATTTTCGTCATCTTTGTACACTTCTTTGTAGTTTTCATATATTTGTTAACATCTTTTGTTTTTGTAAAATTACAAACTATCGCGATTATAAATCCACATTTCAAACTTTGCATAAAATCATAAACCTTCAACAAATTTTCATCAAAATTTCCAAATTTTTCAGTAATTTTAGGTATGCAGTTGTATAGCCCATTAAATTTTAATATGTTTATTTTTGGCAATTTTTTTTTGTTGTTGATGGCATGACGCCTTTTCTTCCATACAAAGTTAGTTCAGCAAAAAATTTTCAAACATCAACGGTATTTTGTAGGCACTTGAAACTTCCTACTAAAATTTAATGGGCTTTTTATTACATACATACATATGTTATTGATGAGTTAGACTTTTATAAAAAAAAATTAAGCATTAAATAAGCAAAAGAAATAATGCCAAGTCAGTTCGAAATAGGGCGTTTCTATTATTTTTGCCGCCACTGCATGTATTTTCAGAAGTACATATCTATTTATATACATACACACTCGCATATATGTAACTAGCCTCAAATTCATAATTGTTAATGTTATCTTATTTTT